AGAGGATTAAAAAAACCCCGGTCAGCTTTTTTTGCCATCTGTGTCCCATTGGAGAAATTTCCCTTCACTTCCTGTCCAATAGCAACAGGAAGTGAGAGGATATCCCACTTTTAGTGATAAGTCACCAGCAAAATAGAGGGTGAATCTCCCTAACGGAGACAGACACCAATACAAACCTGATGTGTTCTACTCTCCACTATATCCAAAACTAAAAAAGGTTTTAGCTTCAGATTCACTTTAATTTAGGTATGAAATGGTTACAAGCAAACTTACCTAACACCAATAACGTCAACATTGAGGTTCTTGGCCATTTCAAGAAGGCGTCTACATGATTTTAGCGTAGCACCGAACTTCACACTGAGGCGGGTGGAAGACTTAGTGTCATCTGTTGCAATGCGCAATACCATCCTGTGGACAATAAAATGTCTGGATCAGCTTTCTGGGGCATTTTATTGGACACACGTTATTTTATAGTTTCTGACAATATCATGGTATGTACATACTTGGCATTTTGGTGATTACGTGAAACTTTGGACAGCTCCACTTCATTGTCAAAGGTCATCATCTGGACACCGTTCTTGGCAGCATATTTAATTTGGGAAATTTGTTTGCAAGGGTTAGCATAAATAATGTTTTCTGGTGTCACACCAATGCTTTGGACTAGCTCAATCTCAGTCTGCAAAGAAACAAAAAATAGAAAGGACACTGTAATAAGTACACACGCAGTGTGAAGAGACAAACAGTAATTAAATACTTAATGTATCTTTACATTTTTTGCCACATGACCCAAAAAGCATTAAAAAAATAAAGCCAGAATTACCTTGCTGGCACAGTCAAATCCAGCACCCAGTTCAGCCAGGATCTGCACCACACCTTTGCTGCTATTGCACTTAACAGCATAGAAAGGCTTTACACGAGGCAGTGCCTTCAGGAAGCGTATATGCTTTTTCACTACGTCCCCCAGATCGGCAACAAAGAAAGCATCTCTGTCCTCCTGAAAACAGAGAAATACCAAAAAATAGGTTACAAAAATGACAGACTAGCTACAAAGTCTGTTGACATTTGTTCTGTGTGCTTTTACAATGACTTCACTGAAATAGGTTTAGAATTAAAGAATTTGACAAAAGTAAAAAACAAGAAGGCCTAACAGCTCATGAGTTCCATTTAAAAAAAAACATACATGGCTACAATGTGCCAGGAGACCCTTCAAAAATCAGCAAATGTGGGCCGGACATTCCTGACAACACCCATTGTAGGTTTCATTTGGCTTCAGAAAGCCAAAGCATTGTGTAGGACTAGTTCTTCTAATCCAGGAGTAGGCAACCATAGCACTCCGGCTGTGCTGGAACGGCAAATCCCATAATGCCTGGGGCTAGTAGAGTCTTGCAATGCCTCATGGAACTTGTAGTTACACAACAGCTGGAGTGCCAAGGTTGCCTACACAATCTTCTCAGCCTGTACCCCTTTGCTAACTCTGCTGTCAGTTTCATGGTTGGTGGATGCTGCCAAACAGTGACCAACTAGGATTAGAGCGATATCCACGAGCTAGCATAAAACTCCACCACAACGATAAGTCCTCTGAGAAGTCTAAGGATTCTGGCTGCAATCATTTTATAGAAACGTTTAAGTATGGGCAGGTGCGTGAACATTCTGACTATCACAACTGTAACGTTTCCTGGATAGTACAAACTTTTCATTGAACATACTATACTGCCTTGAGTTACCGTTCAAGTTAAACATGTAAAAGGTCAATGGAGTATAATCAGTGGAGCTATTCAAGGGTTAACTTAGGGTCTAGGCAACTTGTATAATGGATTTTCATCCACTTGATCCCCAGGCCAAAGCTGCCCATACACCTTGCGAGATGATCGAACCGTCGTACGATTTTCGTACCACGGCCCCATCCTGATCCGATTATAGCAAGGCTGGATCAGCGGTAATTAAAAGAAAGCACTTGGACGAATTGCTGCAATCGACTGCACATATATTTTCGTCTGCGCATGAGCAGTGTAAATCATAAAAATTTTTATGTACGAAGACGCCAACAACCTTGCGAAAATCGTACGCGCGACCAAAGTTTTCTAACCTGCTGGTTAGTCAAAAGTCAATCGATTGTACAGTATTTGCAGTTGTATATCTTATGAATATCGGACAAAAACGAGATAGCATACGAAAACCGGCCGATATTCATAAGGTGTATGGGCAACTTTAGACTGACGTCTGCAGCCTCCTACCCCATCACCCAACCACAGGCCTGTTGATGTGATCATGTCTAATGCAGGGCCCATAGCCTTATTATTATGCTTAGTATTATGCATGAGAACTCAGTCCACAAGCTGGAGCGTAGGGGAGACAAGGCAAGCACTGACTGCACGGTGAGTGGGGATCAGGGACGTAAGAGTCCTTTACACAGGTCCCCTAAACATTAATAAGTAGATAGGGCTACCTCCACATTGCACGGGGAGTTTTGCTTTATTTCCCCAGAGATAGGCTTTAAGAAGAGTACAAGAAATAATTGGATGGCAAGCAAATGCTGATGGATTACTTACAGTCTGTGAGACCTCATTAATGATTTCCTCCATCAAATCTCTGGCAGCAAAGCCTTCCTCCACCATGGTGAAGTCTGATTCTTGGATGTAACGTGGCATTGTGATGCTCTGGTGAACCACCCACTGACCTCTTCCTAATAAGTTTTGTTTTGTTTTTTAAGTATGCAACAAGCTGCAAAAAAACAAAAAAAGACATTGCAGGTTAAAAAGTGTAAAGACACAAGAAAGGGAAGTATACAGAAAAGTAAATCTGGTGCTGACACAGCAGCTGCAATGACCACAGTTACTCTAGAAATGAAAGATGCTGAAACAGTTGCACGCTTACATCATCATTTACTGGAGCTGCAGCACACAATTTTTTTTTAGAAAACGGTAAAAGAAAAAAAAAGGAGGGAAGAAATGTTTCCCCAACGGCTCTACTTTGAAATCAGCCTTTAGTCCTTTTACTTCACACTTTTAAGGCTACATGCACATTAGCAGTGAAGTCCAACATAAGTTATCTGGCAAGTAAAGACAACTTTATGCTTTTCAGGTCATCTTTTTCTGTGCCAGGCTTAGTCACGTTTAGCTGCATAAAACTGGGCTAGTTGGACCCGCAACGCAGAAATGTCTATTTTAGGAAAACTGACCTAGACGCTGCTGGGCGCCTAGATGTGTTCAGTCATAGAATAGCATTACACAAGTGCGTTTAGAAAGGAGCTTCAAAACGCACCTGAGCAACATTTTGGTACATCGTGTGCATGAGGCCTTAAGCAGAACTCCAGGCAACTCAAATCTGAACCACAATCCCGACTGGCTCCTACACCACTCCCTGCAGCCCGTCTCCTCTGCTCCAGAGATGGCATGTCCCTTAGAGTCCTAATATCCCATACACTGTATAGGACGTGATGACTCCCAGGACCTTAGACTGCTGGAGCAAAGGGAGAAAGAGGCTGAAAGCCAAGTCTAAGGCTGGCGTTACACCCATCAATTTTATGCCAATCAACCCACGAGCTGAACAAAAAAAAAAAAAAAAAATTGATGAGATTCCTCCATCAACATGAACAATTGATCGAGGAATCGCTGCCATTTACATTTTATTCCGGTGGCACCTGTCAAAATACCCTATCAGAGCAGGCAGCTCATTGGCTGCCGGCTCCTTTGATCAGCTGATTGAGGAATGCCGACTGAAAGGGAGCCATGCCGACTGAAAGGGAGCCAACACTGTGCGAATTTCATCCGGTACATTACAAACCAGCCGAAATTCAGCCAGTTTATGGGCACTTTAACAGCAAGCCAGGATCATGGTTCAGGTATTCTAGCTCCCTAGACAAAATGAGCACTTAACCTTTGCAGTGACCCTTGCTGTGCAGGGGTAATGCAACAGAAAGGTTTTTAAAATTCCATTCTATATGTTAAGGCAGAAACATGGGAATTGTGTTTCCTACATGACTCATGAGGCTACATAATACATGAGGATATCAGACAGGCAGACTAACAGGCATTGGGTGAAATCTGACAGAACACCACAAATGTTACAATGTGATGTAGTGGGCCTGCCTGATCTTATAGAAACTGTTATATTACATAGTTTTGATAAACCTTAAGTTGATTGTACAGTCAGATTGTAACATGGTGGCCCTAAGACAGAGACAGAAGAGGGAAATACATATAACTCTACATATCTTTTAGTAAGCCAGGACGTTCACGATAATTAAAGCCAGAGATTTGTATTCCTATATTGGGATTGGGGAATGCAGGATTGTAAAAATGAGTCTTTAAATATTAATGATTGTGATTGGGCAGACGATCTGCTTATAAAAGATTTACACAGTTCTCCTATCTAGCCGGTATTGTGTTCTCTAGCACCATAACATATTGCGTCTATGTGATGAGCAGTGAAAATCAGGGAGCTCCCATGGCATCACCATTCACTCACCCGCTATCAGAAGACCCAGGGAGGCTCTGCGATGAATTCGGAGAACTTGAAGCACCCCGGGCTAGCGTTGTCGCCGCAGCTGGCGTTCTGTGTTCTCTGCTGAAAGACAAGGAGACAAGGAGATTGGTCATTTGTGTCACGATTGGTCGGAGAGGCCGAACCAACGTATCCTATACCATCCCTGCATATACGATCCTCTGCATCCCGGAGACCGGCTTACCTTAACACGCATTTACACGGCCGCTTCCCATTAAGGTTAGTAAGAAGTGTGATATGACTCTAGCTCAGACAGGTCCTCGTCGCAATGCTTCGTTCAGTGTCTATTCTACGCTCAGCGCAGCTTCTTTATATATGTCACTGACAGCCATACTAGTGACGTCATGCTGTTTCCAAGGAACTGGAGACATCAAAAACACTCCCGCCCCTTTCCTGACCCTAGCCACACCCTTCCTGGGTCCCGTGACGTTACTGAGTGTTCCGTAGATGCATTGCATAGGCGGTGTGCAGGCTTTCTGGGGCGGTGTGCAGCTGCAGGGATGAGATATTGGATGTTCCTATAGACAGGGCGCGTGATAATGACTAATATACTGGAAATTCCTGGAAATTTCACGGGATTTGGTTGGGAAATCATGATGTGCTTATTTATTGTGATCATATATAGTTATTTCCCTGGAAAAGGTAACAATGTCAGCTATGACAGACAGTGCAAATAACATAGCTCCCCTGTACCTATTGCAGTCCTTATAAATTACCAATTTGACATGTGTTGCTTAGGGCCACATTTCGCCTTAGAGTGTATTCCCATTTTCTTTTTCAGTCAAATTTGACTATATATGTTTGTTATGTGTTCCCATTCACACAGCATAACAAATAATATATTTTTTTAAATCATACCTTACCTTTTAGATGTTTTGTTGCAGCAGGCAACATGGCTGAATCCATGATCTGTCCTTATAGAAATTAACTTCAACAGCCCCTCCTAACATTATTAAAGATGGAAAAGCCAGTGGAAATTGTAACCCTTAAGAAGCCAAGAGACCCTACCCAAGTAAAAGCAATTTAAACTGCACGAAGCATTATTATTTTTTTTTTTTAAAACGACTTGTCCAAGGACTAAAGCGGGACCGAATCTACTTGTCCATCATGACCATCTACTTGTCATGATACAAAAAATAATTGTAGCCAAAACTGTATTTAACAATGCTAAGAAACGATTCTTATTGGTCAGCGTGGTCAGGTAGCTGGGGTGGCACTAGCAGGCTGTGGCTCTCCTGCTCTACAGCGCCTCAGGCGATAGGAATTGTACACTCCTGTTATGCTATGTGAATGGGAACATGTAACAAATATAAAATATTATCCCAATTTGGCTGTGAAAGTAGAAATACACTTTAATCCATTTGTGGACATGAAAGTGACACTAAATCCAGCAATTACAGAAATGAATGAAATAAAATCATACTTTGATTCTGCACAGCTCAATGTCCTTTTGAAGAAGCATATTCATAGTTAAAGGGCTACCAGGAGTGGGTTAAGTCAGGGCTGGACAAATCTCAGGACCAGGTAGCCAATGCTCTTAAAAATGATAACTTTTGGGGTTCTCTGTAGTTGTTGTCAATGGAGTTGGCGCCTAAAAAATCCTGCTGGCTCCTGGATTGGACAGAGTGGCTCCTGAATTCTGTATTTATTTGTCCACCCCTGGATTAAGGAACTCTGTACAATTTAAGAGAGACAATATAAACCTAGCCATACAGCAGTCAGATTGTTTTTGGTTTGATCTATTAGCCTTCATGATTGGATATAAATTGAATAGACTGCTTACATAAAACCTTGTTGTATGTAGACGATGGTAAATGTTGCTGATCTAACAGATCATATCTAAGGGGAATCTAACTGACCTGTGACCATCTTAAGATGCCAGTCAGTGTCCAACCTGATATTTTTCCAGTATGATCAATGTCTGATATTTTCTCACTACTGGTGGATGTTTAGTCACTTTGATAAGTTGTTGCTGAGGTCTGAAATTCCTTAAAGTGGACCTTTCAGTTACTTTAAATACTACATGAATAAATTACAGAAATATCACAATATGCAGCAAAAATATACATTTTCAAAGTAGCTCTACCTTATTTCAATAAAAAGCAGTTTTTAAAATGACGCTGTGGTTGCCAAAAATAATAGTAGTAGTAAGAGGTATTATACTTATGTCTCTGGTGGCCCGTGTCTCCTATGTCCACTCCAATGAAGCACTACAACCTCCATCAGAATCTTTAACAGTCAACATTTTCAGATGCGTTGGATACCTGTGTTCCCAGTTGTGTGCTATAATTCCATCTCCTGACCCCTACACTACTGTGTCCTGTACTCAGGGGCGTAACTACAGATCATGGAGTCCCATAGCAAAAATGTGATGGGGGTCCCGCCTGGCGACCTTTCTCTGAGCTTTGACTAACGACACCAAGATTCCAAAGACTCCTCTTGTGCATCTGGCGTCAGCTTTCCTACACTGTAGACTTTACAGAGGATAAAGGTTGCCATCACTACAACCACTCCGACCCTAAGGCTGGGTTCACACCTAGGCGTTTTTCCGCGCTTTCGTACTTGCGGAAAAACGCTCAAACAGGGAAATGCCATTATTTTCAATGTGCATGGTTCCCATCTGGGCGGTTTTCCGTGAGTACGAATGTGCGGGAAACCGCCCTACGCCTAAAGAAGTACATGTACTTCTTTGGGGCGTTTTGGTCGGGCGGTTCCATTGGGATACAGCCAAGTATCCCTCGGAAACGCGCGAAAAACGTGCATATTCAATCCGCCTAAGTGTGAACCCAGCCTTAATGATGCAGCCCTCTGTTATCTTCACATGTTATATGTTTAATTTGCCTCAACAACCTAATGGGGCCCCCTTTCACCCCCAGGCCTCATAGCAGCCACTTGGAATGCTGCTATAGATACGCCCACTGCCTGTACTAACATAGGTTTGGGCAGGGGACACAGGCATCCCACACTCATTTGACACTCAACTATTTAAGATTTTGACATAGATTAGTGCATCAAGGGAGTGAAGAGAGAAGACACGAGCCATGAAGAGGTACATTTTATGCTTCTTTTTTTGCAGGGAACTGCTTTAAGGATTTGGTGACAACAATGTAAAAACTCCAAAGCTATGTAAGCTCCAGTCCAGGGACTTTGCCTGGACAGTGATGATGTCATCAGTCTGCTGCAGGTAGGATGTAGCATTTCTTTAGTCTCCTAGCCCCCCAGTGATCAGACTGTACATTGTAAATGTTGTAGCAAGCCACAAGGTGTGTCAGAGATTTGTAAACCTTGTCAAGAACTGTACAGACACTAGCACCTCAGTCCAGAAAGTAGATGCTGATCCTGGATGATGCCCTAACAAAGATGGTGACATCCTAACGGAAAGAAACTCAGATGAAGGCATTGTCAGGGGGAGTATTGTGATCTTTGGGAGAGGTAATAAATACATGTATGTGTTACACGAACACATTACTTAGTATAAATGTGTTTACATTAACAATATACCTGAAACTCTTTCCACTTTAACAAGTTAGAGTAGAATAGCAGCATGCAATTATACAATACTGTTGTTGTTTACTTGTACACGAGTGCCATATTTAATTATGCTATGGCAGTGTAGCAGATGTGTTATTCATTGCTGTTGTATCAGGGTTTTAATTCCTATTAGTTGGATTCAGATGTTATACAAAACATGTCAGTGGGGTTTGACCTCTACTAGTAACACAACACAGTACAATGTGACAGCTCGGTTGTCAACTGGAAACCAGATTAAGACCAGTATGAGACGATTTTCACTGCAAACGTGCCCCATGCCAGTAAAAGGCTGTGTCTAGACATGAAGGGCTATTGTATGGCCTGACACAATAGTGCGAGCACTGTCACTGGTCACATCACATTTGCCTAGAGACAAGAAAACAAACACAGTTCATTTTTCACTTCTGTCATAGACTCAACTGACAGGTTTAAAACATTGGAATGTGGCCAGACCTGTAGGCACATTCAAAGTACTTATCCCCCCCTCTTTTTAAATGTGCAACTGTAGCCATTTTACTAGTTTAGTATAGGGTGGAGAGAGATTAGGGCAGCCGTCAGGTTTTTATTACTATCTGTGTCCCTGTTAAGGAGATATACCACCTCTATTTGTCCTGGTGAATGTCATCACTAAACTGAAAGAAAAACCCAAATTTTAGGTTATCAGAACAGGACTAGACGGGAAATGTTCCAATGGGGACACTAGTTCTGGCGACCCTGCTGACCATCAGTGATTTCCCTCTCTTTAGAGGGATTTCCTCTTACTTTCTGTTGTGGCTAGTGGAGAGGAAGTGAAGGGAAAGCTCCCCAATGGGACACAGATGCCAAAAAAAAAAAAGCTGACAGGGGTTATAACCTCCATTACTCTGTCCAAAACCAAAAAAAGTTTTGGCTTCAGTTGTACTTTAACATACAATGCAGAACCCAGGCCTCAAGACCTTTATCCCTTTGTTAGGACGGACAGTGATTAAATCTAGTTTACAACTGATATTGAGAACTGTCAGTACAGTACAGCCATTTTTAAACATTTGTAAGTCATGCTATGTGAATGAGAACATACAGTATAACAGATATAAAGTAGGTGTTATCCTAATTAGGCTGGAAAAGTACAAGTACACTTTAATGTTATTTGTGTACATGTAAGTGCAATAATCTCTGATGCCTACACACTGCTAAACACTGGCCATTGGAATGTTTCAGCCCTCTTCTGCTCATATTTGGACTGCATACGTGGGGAAATTAGATAGAAAAATATGAGGCAGAAGATGCTGTCTTAAATTGAAAGCAACTGGTAGTCTACTTCATCTACTTCATCATCATCCAGCCACTTCTCATAGCAGCTGTATAGTCCGGAGGTTTTGCTGAAGCGCTGAATGCTGAGTTTTGTCTAATAATATACCTGCGTGCTAGATAGAAACATAAATCTTTGCATATGGTTTTGTATGGTGATATTTGCGTATTCAGTCAGGTATGGATTATTTTGCATACTTACACTGCCCAGCTTGTTCCGATGTAAGTATGCATATACTATACCTGATCAGCCGCTGGGGATCCTGTAAAGCACTGTAGTAGCCAGAGCTATCTGAATGGCTAGCTGTCATCAACACACACTGACCTGTTTAGCTAGTTAGTCCTGGGAACACAAGCACAACCTAGTTACCTCCAACTTTTTTTTTTTTAACATAGAACCTTACCTTATTAAAGTCACTCCCCTCCCCCACCTCCCCAATGCTGCTTTAACCACTTGAAGACCAGAGTGTTAAACCCCCTTCCTGGCTAGGCCATTTTTCAGTATTCAGCGCTGCAGTACCATGACTGACGTTTATTCCGTCATGCAACGCTGTACTGAAATTAATTTTGT